GAATTGAACACTTATAAATGGATAGAATGAGTTGGGTACAGTGGTTGACACCTGTAATCCCAGGGCTTTGGGAGGCCAAGGCGGGAGATTGTTTGAGGCCAGGAGTTTGAGACCAGCCTGAGCAGCATAGTGAGACTGTGTCTACACACACACACCAGCTAAAGTGTGCTGGTGCCCCTCCCCCCCCACACACAAACACATTAGCTAAAGTGTGCTGGTGCCAACCTATAGTCCTAGCCACTTGGGAGGCCGAGCCAGGAGTTGAGCCTAGAAGTTTGAGGTTACAATGAGCCTGAGCAACAGAGTGAGACCCTGTCTCTTAAAAAAAAAAAGTTAAAACTAAATTTTAGTATGTATAGTTTACCATGATAACAAAAATCTATAAAAAATGAATTTTGATGTGACAGTAGGAATTAATCTATTTTAGCGGAACAGAATCTCCCAAATTACACGCAACATCACTGCTTTTTTTTTTCTAAGAGCAACTAAACCAAAAATATTTTTTAGGAATCCGTTTTGATCAGTAAAACGTATAAAAAGGAAAGCAAGGGAAATGAAAACAATAGGAATCAGGATGATTATTGCAGGAAGGCAGCAGAATGGGATGGGGGATGTTATGGTTAAATATAGGTTATTGTCAGACATCCTAGTTTGTGGATGATGGTTGCATTATTAAAAATAAGGCCAGGTGTGGTGGCTCACACCTGTAACTCCAACACTTGGGTTAAGAGGATCACTTGAGGCCAGGAGTTTGAGACTATTCTGGGCAACATAGCAAAAACCTGTCTCTACAAAAAAAGTGAAAAAAATTAGCCAGGTGTGGTAGCGCATGCCTGTAGTCCTAGATAATCAGGAGACAGAAGTAGAAGGAGGGCTTGAGCCCAGGAGGTTGAGGTGGCAGTGAGCTATGTTTGTGCCACTGTACTCCAGCCTGGAGTACTCCACTGTACTTCCAGTACAATGCCCTGTCTCAAGTTATAAAAAGGTAAACATAAGTAAAATGGGCCCTGTGTGGATGAACAGAGTATGTCTTGAATAAAAGAGGTTAATTCTGTGCACTTGAGGTCTAATGGGGAAAAATGCTGCTAAATGGGGATGTTAGTGCTTGTCTGAGTTTGAAATCTCGACTCCAATACTTACTCATTGGGTGATCTTGGACAAATAACTTATGTTTCTCTTTCCTGCTGTATAAAATAAGGATAATGTCTACATAGTAGGGCTATTTTGGTATTAAATGGGTTTATATGTATGTCTGGTACATCGTAGGCTTGATGAGCCTTTACCATTTGTTTCAATTATCTAATGCTATGGAATAAACCACCCCAAAACTTAGCGAGTTGAAACAGTCATTTTATTTTTCATTCAGTGGAGCGACGGGTTGAGTTGGATAGTTTTGGTGTTCTTGTGGTTTGTCATGCAGCTGTAAGTCAGGTGGCAGCTGGGGCTGGAATGTGTGTGATGGTTCGTTGTGTTTCCTTTCTTTCCTTTTTTTTTGGACACCTCAAGACCGTTGAGTGAGTGCTTTGTTGTAGTCAGGTGGCAACTGGGGCTGGAAGATGTGTGGTGCTTTGGAGGATACAGCTAAGAGTCGGGCTCAGCTGGGCAACTGCATCTCCCTCTCCTTGTAGCCTTTTTGCATGGTCTCCAGTAGGGTAGCCAGATTTTGGGCACCTCCAAAAGTACAAAACAACCTGCCAGGCCTGGAATTGTCACATTATCACGTGCTGCATTCTATTAAGTCATAGAGCCAGTTAGGGAGCGTGGTTCATTGGGAGCCATTTTTGGAAACTACATATTATTATTAATGTTTCCATCTACCATGTTGCTCTACCACGTATATAGTTTAGATACTGGGAATGTATAAATAAATAGTTACAAATTCCTGCCCACTTGAAGCTTATGTTTTACATAATAAATAAAGTATATCGTGTTTTTGGTTGGTAATAAGGTTGGTAGGGAAAAATAAAGCAGGGAAGGAGATAGGGCATAGAAGTGGTTGGGAGTTTTAGTTTTCAAAATGACTGTTCACGTGAGGCCTTGTTGACAAACTGTCATTTGAGCAGAGACAAAAAAAGGGATAAGAACTGGAGGGCAGGCTGGGAATGGTAGCCTAGTCCTATAATCCCAGGGATTACAGCACTTTGGCTGAAGGAGGAGCCCAGGAATTTGAGACCAACCAGGGCAACATAGCAAGACCCTGACTCTACAAAAAAATAAATTAGCTGGACATGGTGGCTTGCACCTGAAGTCCCAGCTTCTTGGGAGGTTGAGGTGGAAGGATTGCCAGAGCCCAGGAGGTTGAGAGGCTGCAATGAACCATGATTGTGCCACTGCACTCCAGCCTGGATGACAGAGTGAGACCCTATCTCTAAAAGAAGAAAGTGAATGAGGAAGTAGGGGATGAGATCAACAGCCACACATTAAAAGCCAGCTTTAAAATTACTTTTTTTCTTTTGGGCATAAAGCTTTTAATTTTTTTTTTTTGAGACAGAGTTTCGCACTTGTTACCCAGGCTGGAGTGTAATGGCGCAATCTCGGCTCACCGCAACCTCCGCCTCCTGGGTTCAAGCAATTCTCCTGCCTCAGTCTCCTGAGTAGCTGGAACTACAGGCGTGTGCCACCATGCCCAGCTTATTTTTGTATTTTTAGTAGAGACGGGGTTTCACCATGTTGACCAGGATGGTCTTGATCTCTTGACCCCGTGATCCACCCGCCTTAGCCTCCCAAAGTGCTGGGATTATAGGTGTGAGCCAAGGCACCCGGCCCCATAGCTTTTAAATTTTAAGTTGTGCTTGTTTTCTATTTGACTTCCTATTTTGTAGCAAAGGAAGGTAATAGGAGAGGGAGGAATTTATATTTTGTTACAGCTATAAGCCTTTTCAGAAGCATGAGGGATTGTGTTTTATTCAACCAGTGTATTTATTGATTGTCTTTTTTTTTTTTTTTTTTTTTTTTGAGAGGGAGTTTCCCTCTTGTCACCCAGGCTGGAGTGCAATGGCAAGATCTCAGCTCACTGAAACCTCTGCCTCTCTGGTTCAAACGATTCTCCTGCCTCAGCCTCCCGAGTAGCTGGGATTACAGGCATGTGCCATCACGCCCAGCTAATTTCGTAGTTTTAGTAGAGACAGGGTTTCACCATGTTGGCCAGGCTGATTTTGAATTCCTGACCCCAGGTGATCCACCCTCCTCGGCCTCCCAAAGTGCTGGGATTACAGGCATGAGCCACTGAGCCTGGCTAATTGTCTTAAAATTTAAAAAAAATTTTTTTGGAGACAGGGTATTACTCTGTCACCCAGGCTGGAGTGCAGTGGCAAGGTCTTGGCCCACTGAGATCTCCACCTTGCTGGTTCAAGCGATTCTCATGCCTTAGCCTCCTGAGTAGCTGGGATTATAGGCACATGCCACACCCAGCTAGTTTTTGTATTTTTAGTAGAGACAGGATTTCAACATGTTGCCCGGGCTAGTCTCAAACTCCTGACCTCAGGTGATCTGCCTGTCTTAGCCTCCCAAAGTGTTAGGATTACAGGTGTGAGCCACTGCGCCTGGCCTATTGATTGTCTTTCTAAGATTCTTTTACTCTTTCCCTGATGTGGCTTGTTAGTAATCAATTTTAATAATTATTGCCTTTTTGTTAGAAAAACAGTGTGAATGAAGGTTAACTCAAGCAAGTTTATTTGAAAATCTATTTTCTGGCCAGGTGCAGTGGCTCATGCCTGTAATCCCAGCACTTTGGGAGTCTGAGGTGGGCGGATCACAAGGTCAGGAATTTGTGACCAGCCTGCCTAACGTGGTAAAATCCTGTCTCTACTAAAAATGCAAAACTTAGGGTGTGGCGGTGTGCGCCAGCTACTCAGGAGACTGAGGCAGGAGAGTCGCTTGAACCTAGGAAGTGGAGGTTTCATTGAGCCGAGATTGAGCCACTGCACTCCAGCCTGGGTGACAGAGCGAGGCCTCATTAACAAACTGTCAGACTCCAAAAAAGAAAAATTAAGGCCGGGCGCGGTGGCTCAAGCCTGTAATCCCAGCACTTTGGGAGGCCGAGGCGGGTGGATCATGAGGTCAAGAGATGGAGACCATCCTGGTCAACACGGTGAAACCCTGTCTCTACTAAAAATACAAAACATTAGCTGGGCATGGTGGCGCGTGCCTGTAATCCCAGCTACTCAGGAAGCTGAGGCAGGAGAGTTGCCTGAACCCAGGAGGCGGAGGTTGCGGTGAGCCGAGATCGCGCCATTGCACTCCAGCCTGGGTAACGAGAGCGAAACTCCGTCTCAAAAAAAAAAAAAAAAAAAAAAAAAAAATTAAAAAATCTATTTTTCTTCTCTGTAGCTTTTTTTTTTTTTTTTGATAATAGGCAAAAGATTTTCATTAACCTTTCTTTCAGTTCATGCTACATCTTTTCCTTGATGCTATGTGTCCATCTTGGTTTAACCCGTTTTGTAGATTTATAATTGCCATGTTCTTTTTGGGGTTGATTTAAAAGCTGTTTTAACTGGAACTGAAAGTGTTGACTTTTAGTTTACTGTGGTCCTCTGTGAAGACATGTTCCAACATGTTTTAGAGGTTTTCCTACAAGTCTTGTTGGAATCTTAAACCTATGACTCACCTTGGTAAATCCCCAGTCTTGCATCTAGAGAGGGCTCTGCCCGATAACCATTGGGAAGATAAGGATTTGACTTTCAGCTAAAACAGTTTACTCATTCATTAACATCATCGAGGAGGTTGAAGCATGTCTGAAACTGTTTCTGTTTCAGGCTTCACCTGACAGAAGCATGGACGATTCTTATACTTAATTAAATTCTTCGGTTTGGCAGGATCTGAACTAGAAGGTTGTCTGAAGATATGCAGAACCTCAGCAAGGGTATACAGCATTTGTGTAGGGTGCTCCATTTTATGTGTCATATTTGTTTTTTACTTCTGCTGGTTGCCTTTCTGTGAATGCTAAATAGGAAATTTTCTGTGTTAGAATAGATTTTACAAAGTTTTTTTTTTCTATTTAGTTTTGCCAACAGACTGCAGTTTCTTCACTGCCAAAATGACATCATTTTCCACCTCTGCCCAGTGTTCAACATCTGACAGTGCTTGTAGGATCTCTCCTGGACAAACCAATCAGGTAAATCATTTTGGGTGTTTCTAGTTTTTTTTTTTTTTTTTTTTTTCTTTAAGGTTTAACTGGCTCATGACTGTAATCCCAGCACTTTGAGAAGTCAAGGCAGGAAGCTCGCTTCAAGCCAGATGTTTGAGAACAGCCTTGGCAACGTAGTGAGCCCCCTGTCTCTACAGAAAATTTCTAAAAAAAAATAAATTAGCTGGGTGCAGTGGGGTATGCCTTTAGTTCTAGTTACTTGGGAGGCTGAGGCAGGATGATCACTTGAACCCAGGAGTTCGAAGCTGCAGTGAATTACAGTCACAACCACTGCACCCAAGACTGGGCAAGAGAGTAAGACCTTGTCTCTTTTTTAAAAATAGGGGGGATGTGGGAGTGTTGCTGGGTGAGGTGGCATATACCTGTGTTCCCAGCACTTTGGGAGGCTGAGGTAGGCAGGTCTCTTGAGCCCAGGGGTTGATACCAGCCAGGGAAACATGGTGAAACCCCCTATCTACAAAAAAATAGAAAAATTACCCAGTATGGTGGTGTGCATCTGTAGTCCCAGCTACTCTGAAGGCTGAAGTTGAGCTGGGGAGATTGAGGCTGCAGTGACCTGTGATCACACCACTGCACTGCAGCCTGGGCAGCAGAGCAAGACTTTGTTTAAAAAAAAAAAAAAAAGTGGGGGAAGCTGTTTAAAGAGGTTCTTTTGTTCCATAGTTTCAGAAACCTACTTGAAATGTAAATAGCACATTTATTTATGTTTACATTAGGTACGACCAAAACTGCCACTTTTGAAGATTTTGCATGCAGCAGGTGCGCAAGGTGAAATGTTCACTGTTAAAGAGGTAAGCCATAAAATTCTCAGTTTTAAGAATAGTTGGCCAGGCATGGTGGCTCACGCCTGTAATCCCAGCACTTTAAGAGGCCGAGGTGGGCAGGTCACGAGGTCAGGAAATCGAGACCATCTTGGCTAACATGGTGAAACTCCATCTCTACTAAAAATACAAAAAATGAGCTAGGTGTGGTGGCACATGCCTGTAATCCCAGTTACTCACGAGGCTGAGGCAGGAGAATTGCCTGAACCTGGGAGGCAGAGGTTGCAGTGAGCGGAGATAGTGCCATTGCACTCCAGCCTGGCGATAGAGCGAGACTCCGTCTCAAAAAAAAAGGAACAGTGGGGCCGGGCGCGGTGGCTCAAGCCTGTAATCCCAGCACTTTGGGAGGCCGAGGCGGGTGGATCACAAGGTCAAGAGATCGAGACCATCCTGGTCAACATGGTGAAACCCCGTCTCTACTAAAAATACAAAAAATCAGCTGGGTATGGTGGCGCATGCCTGTAATCCCAGCTACTCAGGAGGCTGAGGCAGGAGAATTGCCTGAACCCAGGAGGCGGAGGTTGCGGTGAGCCGAGATCGCGCCATTGCACTCCAGCCTGGGCAACAACAGCGAAACTCCGTCTCAAAAAAAAAAAAAAAAAAAAAAGAACAGTGTAGAAATATAAGCCAGTGAATGAGTAATTTTGAAATCAGGCCTCAGTTCTATTCCTTAGGTATCAGAGGGGCAACTTTTACTCTGTTTTAAAGACAGTTAAGTTGAATATCATATTTCCTTTCTTTTGAAGCGTGTTGTAAGATAAACATAAGATGAACCATGAATTCATTGAATTAAAATGCAGAGCAAATAAGGATGAAAAAGACACTTTTTGGGCCTGGCACCGTGGCTCACGCTTGTAATCCCAGTATTTTGGGAGGCTGAGGTGGATGGATTGCTTGAGCCCAGGATTTTGAGACCAGACTGGGCAACATGATGAAACCTCATCTCTAGAAAACATACAAAAATTCATAAGCCAGGTTGAGTGGAGCATGCCTGTAGCATCGCTTGAGCCCAGGAGTTTGAAGTTTCAATGAATTATGATGGCAACCACTGCACCACAGGCTGGGCAAGAGAGTGAGACCCTCTCTCTTGAAAACAAAAACCAGAAACCTAGTTGTGGGGGGAGGGGGACGACCCAGGGGCAGGCCACTGGGCATGGTGGCTCACACCTGTAATTCCAGCACTTGGAAAGTGTGAGGCGGGTGGATCACTTGAGCCCAGGAATTTGAGACCAGGCTGGGCAAAATGGTGAAACCCCGTCTCTAAAATAATAGGAAAAGTGGGTAGGCGTGGTGGTATACCCCTGTAGTCCCAGCATCTACTTGGGAGGCTGAGGTGGGAGGATCGCTTGAACCTGGAAGGCGAAGGTTACAGTGATGGGCACTCCAGTTTGGTTGACAGATGAGACCCTGTCTCAAAAAAAAAGGACACTTGGATGTATAGGCTGTATTTTGAGGCAGGAATTAAATGCAGCAGTTTTCATTATTTTTTGTTCTTTTTTTTTTTTTTTTTTTTTTTTTTTGACAGTCTCCCTCTGGCACCCCGGGGGGACTCTGTGGCGCCCTGTTGGGTCTTCAGGGGGGGGTCCCCGCATTTTTTTAATTTTTTTTTATATAGAGAT